TTGGAAAGATGAAAAGAAAAACAGAGCTAAAAGTTAGAGCTCTGTTATGATTTCTGAATATCTTTTCTATTGTTGTTATGAGAATTACCAGTGCAATTGGCCCCTGCAGGAATATCTCCTGCCTTTTCTCTCTCATCTGTCCAGGTCTGAGAGAACGGAATAATCTGGAATAGTTCCACGAGTTCTGGCCCAGAGGGGACTCTATGGAAACCCAATGGCTCATGGCCGTCCTGTTGTTTTGGTTTCCTGGATGATCAGAGACAATAAAGCTTCAGATACAATATATGGGGTGCTTACCAGGACCCAGGGGTGATGCTAAGCTCTGTTCACTGCAGCCTTGTGACCTCACAGAAACCCCATGAAAAAGTTAGCATGGTCCCCATTTTAGAGTTGAGGAAACTGAGGTCCCAAAAAGTTGGATACCACCCCAAAGATGCTGTTGGTAAATGGGAGAGGCAGAATTTGAACCCAGAATTGACTGACTCAAAACACCATTCTTACTGCATTTTATTATCCTGGATAGCGTGGATATGGGAACACTGTGAGGCTACAGTGTGGCTCCACAGATAGTGTTGGAAAGAGTGGGGTGAAGAATGACCCTGAGCAGATCAATATGGCCTCAGGATCAAGCAAAAATATGGGGGAAAGCATGGAAAATTGTGTGAGCTCCTCTAGTCCACCAGGCACTGTGTCAGGCTCACCAAAGTCACTCAGATATGTGAGGGGGCTGGGAAGGGCGAGCCAAGTGGGACAGGCCAGAGAGCACATGGGTAATAAATTGACACCCTCAGCCACATCCCAGTCGTGGGCCGTTGTACATGATACCTCACCAGTCCTGCTCAAAACTGCCAAATCACCCAAAATAAGGAAAGCCAAGAACCATCCCAGCCAAGAGGAGCCTCAGCAAGCACGAGACCTAAATTTAATGTTCCTGGATGAGATTCTGGAATAGGAAAGGACATGAGGACAAACCTAAGGAAACCTGAACATACTGGGATTTTTGTTAATAGGAATATTGGCTCATTCACTGCAACTAAGTAGCATGCTAGTAGAGGGTGTTAATAATAAGGGAAACTGTCTGGGAAACCAAGTCTAGTGCCAGCAGGCAAGGGACAGCTTCCCTTTTGATTCGGGCAGACAGGAAAGGAAAGTCCTGGAGCCCTTGGTGGATTTTTCAGGCTTAAACGCTCTCTCAGGGAACCAGGTACACAGGCCCACCAGACCGGGAGGCTGACATGCAAGGAGGCAGGCACTGGCCAGGCAGTGGAGGGCCTGGGAGGCAGGAAGGCACCCAAGCTTCCCAGCTCCCCAGGAATCTATACGCTCCTTCTCTGGGCTCTCTCGGGCATCGTTTGGTGGTCTTGCCTCTTCTGCAGTCTCATCCTCTCAGAGCTGTCCTCTGCCTCTGAGTGACGCCACCCTTGTATCCCTGGCCTCTATAGGCTCAGGTGTGCAAACTTACGCATGTGCATCCCCATGCTCCAGGTGTCTACAATCAGGCACGCGTGCCCTGCGCCCACACTCGCAAGCACTTTCTGCTTCAACACAATCGAGGCCTCAGGTGATAGCCACAGGGGCTAGTGGCATAAAAAGCCTCATCGATTCCACTTACCCCACACTGAGGAAGGGATGGGCACAGTGTTTGACCATCCTTCAACTTCTGGCACCAGCCTTCCCGGGAGATGCCTCCCCATACTTACGGTGTTGCCTTTCCTCTAAATGAGCTCCACTGGCCTGATGTTGCTGCTTGTCCCTTCTGTGCTGAGACACGCAGAGCATCACCTAGTGTTTGTAACTGAGCTTTTTTAACCTTAACTGGCTCGATCTGAATTGTGTTCATTCCATCTCTCTGTTTAGTGACTAAGGTGTGCCATGTAATAACAGCGCTTACACGGCAGTTACCTTGGGCTGAGTCTGCGGATGCTTCCAATTAAAGTAATTGTATCTTAGCTTCCTTTGGCAATCACTGTCAGACACAGGAGCCTTAGGAAGGAGAGCACTGTCTGTCATGTCTTCCACGTCTTGTTCGCTGACCTGGGTCTTGACAGATGCCAGCACAGCACAGCAAGTCTGTGTTAGTTGTTTCTGGGTCAGAATGGGCTAGAAAGCTGGAATGAGGAGAAGATGTTTCCTGGGGGCATTGGGTTGGGAGTGCCTTTCAAAAGAGGGGAGGTGGGTAAGAGGTATCTGGGGCCAAGAGGTTTCTAGAAGAGAACTCATCGTGCTGAGAATAAATTGTGGTTGGTTATGCTGATTCTTCTATGGTCATGATGGTGCAAAAGGAATTACATGTGTAAATGCATATATATATATGCACATGCAAATGTATATATGCATATACAAAAGTATATGTGTGGGAACATAAACAGATACAGATGCATCCACATGCATACACACATACACTGCATCTATATATATGTGTTCTTGTATGTAAGTATAGTATGTAGATATGTCTATAGACACATAAATATGGAGACAGACAGACAGATAGATGAACAGGTCCCTTTGCATTCAACAAGAGAAGGATTAGCCAACAAGAGAAGGATTAGCAGATTTGCACCCAGGTCTGACATTTACCCTTCACTCTTCACTCACCCATTGTTCTGTTTTTCTGGGATGCCAATCTACACTACACTTTGTTTCTCCTTAAATGGATATGTTTGTGGGAAACTTCTAGGTTAACTGGGTGGCCAGGAAGTCCATTTTTCTGTTGAGTAAAATGAAACTAACATGAAAGAAGCCCATTCACAAGTGTCTGTTTAATAATTGTTGATGCTGCCGAGACTGGATTTCACTGTTTCTGAATATCTGATGCCCGGAAGCCAGCCACAGTGGCTAAAACTGCCAGCTCAGGATGCCCTGGGGTTCTGAATGTGACAGTGGGGACTGGCTTCCAGGCAGCCTTGCCTCTTCTTTCGTGTGGGGTCACTTTGGGGGACCACCTCTATCCTGCCCATTTATATCAAGTAACTGCTCACTGCCCTTGATGTAACTGAGGACAAGGGAGGAATCATCAGAAAGTAAATACTTCATAATGGAATATTAACTCTTCTGTTGAATAATATAAAAGGCTGTCCCAAGGGGTGAGGAACATTTCTACTGCTTTTTCTTCTTCTTCTTTTTTTAAAGATTTATTCATCTATGCATACAAGAGCTGGGGTACAGGCCAGAGATGTGGGGGATGAGAGGATTCACCAGAGACAGAGTGGGGAGCAGAACAGGCAGACTGACTGAAATAAATACACTGCTGAAGGGAGCAGCGGACGAGACAGGAGAAGTCTGCTGCGCCATTTGGGCAGCTCCCTGGCTGGCTGGGGATTGAACTCGAGCTGCAGAGGCTGTGGATTGCTTCATAGTGCGGTGCTTAACCCCTTGTGCCACCAGGGAGGCCCCACTTTTTCTTCTTTAAGGAAGTTTTACCATTTCTCTGGGCAGGGATGGACACAGGATTTGATTATGGTGAGTGGGATCTGGGACGGAGGGAGCAAAGGGTTGGGAGAAAGGGCTCACATGGGGCAGTGGGCTTAGGCAGTGTCAGCTCTTTAACTAGACAGGCTCATGTTTGGGATCTAGTTCCAGAAAAAAAAAAACCTACATAAAAACATGAGCTAATTAGCTTATGATTGCCCTTGGACATTCCGGGACACTCTGCTTAGGCAACTGGCTCTTTGAGATTCCTCCTGAAGTGCTTAGAAACTCAGGTGCAATATCTCTTCCCACTTGACCCAACTCTCAGACCTTGTCCTTAAGCCTGTGGGCAGCCTCCCTTCTGGTCCATTTGTCTGCGCAGAGCATCCTCCCCAGTCTTTCTACCTCCCATCCCACCTCACAGACATCTCGTCTACCTCCAGCTCTGCTCACAGAGCCTGCGCTCAGAGGAGCCTTCGTGGACCTCTCTCCCCACAAACCCCATTCCCAATATTCCGTTTGTATGTCTTGACATTTTTTTTTGTCTTTGCAAGGGATCACATGCAAAAATACACATCAGTTATCTTTCATTTCTTTAAATTTATTTTTTTCATTGTGGTGATATTAGGATTCTCGCCATCGGGTTTCGCCTCTGTAAGGCACCCAAATTGCCCACTGTCCACCACCATAGTCCCTTGTGCTTCCTTCTCTGAAATAATATATGCATTACTTTGATATTTGCTTCCTCCTTCCCCCATACACACCAGAAGAAGCCATCCAGCTTGAGATGTAAGGGGTTAATTTATTTTGACCTATTTTTTTTCTAACAGCTGCATGATAGTCTATCACACGTCTGTACATAATAATACATAATATGGATGCAACGTAATTCATTATAGAATCCCTAGACTTACAGGAGTTGAGAGTTTTCTGTGTGTGCTCCTTCTATTTTACAAACAATGGTGCGAAGAACAGCTCTGAACAAATATCCTCACCTTCTGAGGCTGATATTTCTAAAGGCTGAAGCCTTAGAAGTGATATTATTTGGTCAACATATACATGCACTTCAAATTTCAATACGCACCGCCAGGTTCCTTTCTGTGAATACGACAAATGGCATATCCCCCTTCCTGTTTCTGAGTCTTCCTCCCCAACATCTGCCATTGTTGGTGTCCTTGCACCTTTTTAATGTTTGCCTAAGTCTTGGCAAAGGAGTGCTTTCTCGTTGTTGTTCTGACTTGTGTTTCTTTGACTATTACTGAAGACGATTATCTTTATTTATACCATATCATATCACCTGTCATATATTTATATAATTTTGATAACAAAATACTGCTACAATGGGCCTCGACACTTAATACAGGGAGGAGTTGCAGAAGTTCTGGGCACAGCCTTTGCCTGTCTTCAGCTGTTTTGCTAGGAGAGTCGTTGGGGTCACTTGTTCCAGATATGTCTGCAGATCCTCCGCTGTTCTCGCTCTCGCACCCCTAAACAAGGTTGAGTTGGTCTCCAACGTCACGGTGATGATGGGGAGGGTGGAAGGATGGTCCTGCCCTGTTTATGACCTTCTCGCTCTGCTTCTTCACTTCCAGACACCACCCAGATGAACAACGCAGTGCCCACCTCCCCTCTGCTGCAGCAGATGGGCCACCCGCATTCCTACCCCAGCCTGGGGCAGATCTCCAACCCCTACGAGCAGCAGCCGCCGGGCAAAGAGCTGAACAAGTACGCCTCCTTGAAGGCTGTGGGTAAGCCCTGGTTCGCTTTCCTCTCTCCTTCTCTGTTCTTTCCAGATCTCCTTGTTGCTGCTTTTCTTTTCACCTCCTTTTCTCTCTCTCCACGTCTCTCTACTCTCAAGATCCAGGTCTCTTTTCTCTCCTGCTATCTCCTCTCTGTCTCTCTCTCTATAAATATGAATATAGATGTAATATAGACACAGATACATATTCCAGGTCTTTCTATCTGGGAGGCAGGTTCTAGGGACTGGAGCCTTTCAGCTACTTTCTTGCTTCTCCAAACCAAGCCCTGCCTTGCAGGGCCGGGTAGGTGGGTGAGGGACATATCTGGGGACTTTGTCCTGGGAAGGAGGACCTGGGTGCTCACGTGGACCCTCTGGCACCTCAACCCCTTCATCATCACCATCTGCCCTAGTGAACCCCCAAGGCACCTAGACATGGAGCCCAGGAACCTGGCTGGCCAGGCCTGTATACTTGTCCTCCAGGCTGTCCACCGGTGCCTGGAGTTTCTCTACTGTGCAGAGGGCAGCTGTTTGCTGGGGAGGGCAGCCCACGCACCTAGTAATCCTATCACGTGGGAGACACTGCGTTATTCATCTTTATATACTTTTCTCGCAGCAGCCCAGACAGAAGGCACCATTATTATCCCAATTTTTAGATTAGGAGACTGAGACTCCAAGAGGTCAATTAAGCTAGCCCCACATCAAGCCGCCGGTGGCGACAGAGGCCAGAGCTGATTGTTTTATCTCTCCCAAGTCTCTGCTCCTGCCGCTTCCTCCCGCAGCCTGGGTTCTCCTTCAGTCCACCCCCTCTGTCTCGCCCCCAGGCTGAGGGCATATGACACTCACTCTGACAGTGGCCCGGGCTCCTGGCCCACGTGCTGCGGAGAGATCTGTTGCAGGGAAGTGGGTCCTCAGGTGTCCCTGATCGAGTGGTTCCCAGCTGTGGCTGCAGGTAGATGAGTCCCCATCCCAGCCCCACCCAAGAGGCTTTCACTGAACTGCTCAAGGGTGGGGTCAGACATGGGCATTTTTAAAGGAACTCTCTGGATGATTCTGATGTGGACCCAGGGCTGAGAGCTTCATATTGATGGAAATCATGGCATCAGCCATCACCCAGGAAACCAAACCCCTTCTCAGGTGCCTTCTCTGGGGCTGGGCCCCTTACTCACTTGCTGCATCCCTGTGTATTCTTAACACAGGGAAGTCCTCTCCCCCTCCCTGAATCCTGAGAGTTTCCCTCCCTGTCTCATAGGAAATATCTTCAAGCCAGAAGTCACAGGAGGTCTCCTTTTAAGTGTCTTTGACTCTCCTCCCCTGCAGAATAGACTGTCAGAAGTCCCAGGACAATGAAGCAGTTCAGTTGGAAGGATTCCGTTTTATTGGGGGTCTTCCCAGAACAGCACTTCCAACAGATTTCTGGCTCCTGGAAAACCTCGCCCAGGCAGGCCACCCAAGATCATGCACTTCCTATTACAATCAGCTGCTCAACCTCTTTCTGGCTTCACTGCCAAGTCCTCATTAGAGATGGGATGGGAGACACCTGCTGCTGGGTTCCAGCGTGAAATGTCCTAATTCATTATGAGCAAACACCAGAACCACGTCTCTGATGCTCATGGTGACCATGGTCTACAAGACCAGATTCATAAACTCTGTTTCACCAACAAGCATGTTGATGTCCAGGCACATAGCGGGAGCTTAGTAAATGTTCTACCTGGAAGTCCATCTTGAGGAATTCCTGTTCCCGAATCATCTAGGACTTCCAAATAGAATCATTCAAGGGAAGCATGAGTCAAGTGTTGAATCCCAGAGACAAGGCTGCACAGACTCCACATAGCCATCAGCCATGCCACCTGCTTCCTGTGACACCAGCTCGACCTCACCTACACGCCATGAACACAGATACCCTCCATTCCGTATTGCAGGAATTCCGTATTGCATGATATATGTATGCACCTAAGTATGTTCCAACACACTCAACTATTAGTAGAAAAGGATGAGGGCCGTTGCCAGGAGAGAAAGAGCTGGAATCCTCCATATTCTCCTTGGTGGGCTGGCTCCCTTTCCGAGTCTTGCATGTAGGTGCTAAAGAGTGTCAGCTGTTATATTTGATTCTTCTTTTGCCAATGAAAATAAACCAGCCCAGACATTTTTTTTTAAACTGGTCACCGTACCCTAAACAACTCGCTTCTTCAACTTAGGCCCAACATTTCATCCCCTTCAACATCCAAAGTCGCTTCCTGCATAAATAATGGATGGGCATTCCAACAATGTTCCTTGATTCTCTGCAGGATTTTTGCGGGGATCTTGTGCAGAGCAAAGTCTGTGGTGCATCTGGAATATTTGCAAGTTGAAAATTTATTTGAAAATCATTGATTAACCCTTTCTTCCCACGCAACAGGAATTCACCACATTTGCTGAATGAATGAATGAACTTGTCTTGGACAGTAATCCCAGGATAGCTTAATTGTACTGAAGCACCCCTATGTCAGCTAGAAAGCCCTGAAGGATCTCCCTTGGGGAGCCCACGCCAGTCCTGGATACATTGATGTGCCCATCTTGTTCTCAGTCCTTTGGGGTAGAAGTCCAAGTGTTTTACCTGCATCACCATGATCTTTTGAATTCCTACTGAGGAGAGGTCCGATGAGGAACTGACTGACTGCTGACCCAATTAGTTACCCAGAGTCCAGAGTCTTTCTGCACAAATGAAATGCAAATCCAATAATAAATATTCTTTTGAGGGTTCTTTATTAAGGCATAATGTGACCAGGGTGTGAGTGATGAGATGTGTTTCATGAATGAAATCATTACCCCCCTGGAGAGATGGGTGGTTTGCTCGTGACAGCTCTGCAACATCTGATAACCAGGCTCATTTTCTAAAAATTTCAGTTCAGTAAATAAGGGGAGGTTTGCACAGCCTTTAGGGTTAACTGCCAAGTTTAAAAATACCTCTGGAAAATAAATTTTTCTTGGCAGCTTTAATATCCAGAATGTCAGGTGGCTTGAAGCCGGTCACTGAAACTCTGTGACCTCAGCTTCTTCATGTGAAAAATGAGGACGAGCGACTCTACGGTCACCAAACTCCATTCTAACTTTAAAATTAGAAAATTAAACAATTCCACTTATTCTCATTATTACAACACATGGGGACCATTGAATAGGCCCCTTCATTAACCACCAACCCCGGGAGGAGAGGGTGTTAACTGGGGGTTGTTGCTGAGATAAATTTGTCCCAAATCTGCCTTCCTTTCTATTTTATGCTGTTTTATTTTTGTTTGGATATTGAAGTCACACTCATTTTCTGTGGGTCTGTTAATCCCAAGCAGCCTGTTCGGCCGCCATCTTGTAACCTGCAGTTCTGCTTTCTTATACAAGGGGAGAGCTGCCCGGGCAGTCAGTCATAGGAGCTAAACCTTACAAGGTACTTTTTAAGTTAACCAAGAGCTTAAAGCTGGATCACCCAGGGAAGACTCTGCATCACAAGGTATGCCTGGGAAAAGCCCAGGGAGACTGAGGACTGATGTATGACAAGGGACCCCAGAAGCTGATGAGTGGAAAGCCTTGTTGATAATTGAAACCATGGCTGGGGAACTAGGGCTTGATCTCAATCACAATACTGAGTCATCAAGCAGATGAGAAGTGCCTGGAGGGCAGACTCACGACCCCTGATATTGTAGATGACAGAGCACATTTTCTAGCCGCACCTTCCATTTTCTCTTTGTCCTCCTTCCCCTCACAACTGATGCTGTATGATTCTAGCAATAAAAAGGCCAGGATCTTTCTCTTCAGCAGCATCCTGCATTATGTAGCCTGTTACATGACTCTCATTTCTTTACCAGTGTGGTGTTGCCTGATGCAACTTCTCTCTACCTTTCAGGAAATTGGGGATACAATGCCTGGTCATACATTACATGTAATCACAGAATGACCTCTGTTCCCAAGAGGTTACTGTCCAGTTATTGGTAAAATGATGTGTACACACATTAGGGAGATGTCAGAGGGTAAGCCTGATTGAACTCTGTACAAGGAGAAATGATGGAGATGAATCATCATTGTTCAAGTCATTCATTCATTCATTCATTCATTCATCCAGCCATCTATTCATTCTCCAAACACTTGATCTGGTGCCCTTGATTGTTGGCTCTATGAAGCATGGACCAGATCTGTCCTGCTCATCAATGTATCCCCAGAACCTAGCACCATGTAGGGAATGTGATGAAGGCTCCCCAGGACATATCTGTAAAGCCAGTGAATAATGGTACGTGGGAGGTGCTTATTGAGTCAGGATCATGAGATGATCAGCAAGACCGCAGACTACACAAGGCCCCTGCAGTTGATAGGGACTCAGTTTAAGAAATAACTCAGCTACTTATCAAGTTATTGCATAAATTGTTTAGTATCCTCAAGTCTCAGTTTCCTCATCTGTCAAATGGAGAGATGAATAATACACACCTAATGGGTTTTGTGAAGATTCAGTGGTACAACACATGGAAAGCATTTGGTTTAGCACGCAGTCAGCCTGCATTAAATAATGCAGTGTCTTAAAGTCTCCAGACCAGAATTATTTGTTGGCCTTTATTTTCTTTGCTCTCCATGAGACACTGGTATCTGATTAATATGCAGTTGTCAAGAATTCATTTAAAAGGAAATTAAGAGTTGGCTAGTGGATCCATATTCTTCACTCCAGTTTGATAGGAAAGGCTTGTGTGAAAGTCAACTCACTTTGGGAATATGATAAAACAAATCAGCAAGTAAACAACAAATGGCTTTCCTAAGCTGCCCTGAGGACTGGCAAAGAGTCAGCCCAAACCTCTTTACTCCTTGTCCAAAGCCTGTGAACATCCAGGCCCAGAGGTAGGGCCATGCCTGTCCCCTGAAAAGAACTTTTGTTTCGCCCCACTGGATCTCCATACTAAATCAGAAATGTGGCTTTAGGCCTTTCAGAAGTGTTTTCCACCAAGATTGAGGTCTAGAATTGTGTCTTGTGATAGACAGAACCCAAATGTAACCTGAAAAATCAGTTAAACACAAGTTTCCTTGGCCCAAGTCATCTGTATGATGGAGGACACGGTGTGAGACACCACCTGACAGTCCCTCCCGGGGTCAAGGTTTACAAACAGGGATGTGAAAATATCCCAGAGAGTGGCCTAGTGGTTCACATGACTCCCACCTCTACGGCTTGAAAAAGGTCACTCTTTCATGTAGCTCCAAGGGCTTTGCAAACAAAAAAATGGGCATTTTTCTCCTACCAGCTCCATGACCAGCTGCCCTGTAAGCAACTAAGAGTGGAATTCCTTGGTTGTCAAAGATTCCTGACCTTGTGCCTCTAAGAGGCTTCAGTGCAACCTGGCTTCTCAGTGAGGGAGAGAGACAGGATGCAGCAGCATTATTGATGAAATGCTGTGGTGTCGCCCTTTTTAATTGAAAATTTTGGTAAGAAACTATTTTCCCTATTGCTCTTTGACAGATGATGGATTGGTTTGCTAGAACCATGCTACATTTCCCAATAGCACCTTTTAAAACCACAGCAACAATCCACTTCAAGGTGGCAGAATTTCCTTTTCCAATCTCGCTGCGGGAATCACCCGTGAAAACCCCTGGCCGCAGATTGCTGTCTTCTCGCGTAATTTTTTTTTTAAGTTATGATAGAAAGCGAGTGAAGATGATGGAATTCTCAAACACTACACCTCCGAGGGAGGTATTTGTCCCACCATCTTGCAGATGGGGAAACTGAGGTTCTGTAGTTAAATAATTTTTCCTAAATCACATTTGTAGTCAGTGACAGAACCAAGAGTCACAGTCAGGATTGTCTGATGCAGAATCCTATGTTCTTTCCATGAAACTATTCTGTCTTCTGCAGAACAATGTCTGGCATCAGATGGCTATGATTTTTTTTTTTAAAGGCTGGTGAGATCCACTCTCCCTCTTTTTATTTATTTATTTATTTGTTTTTTTGAAGAGGCGCTTACTAGGGTATGAGTTGTTTTTCTTTGCTGGAAGGTAAAAATCCCCCCAAAGTTGAAGTGCAATTTATATTTAGTGAAATCCACAGGTGACATTTTACAGTAGTGATCATTGAAAGAGGCAGGTGCTCAGCTACACCAACAGGCCAGTAAGGACAAGATAAATTTGAATCATCCAGAAAGTTCCCCGGGTCCCCTATGCTCCATGCCTTCCACCCACCTCCTTTTAATAAACATCTAATTTCTGGCACAACAAATAAATATCTCATGTCTAGGAAGGCCACCCAGCGCACAGTAGGACCTTCACTATCTAGCTGCCCCATCCTGTGCCATCTTATTAAGTGCCCTTATTCGCAAAGAATTTATAAAACAGAACCAGCTCCGAGCCAGCTCTAAGCCCTGGTCGCGGACACCAAGGGTGACATGCCAGACTTGACGGGGAGGTCACATGGCTTCCCTGGGTCCCTGATGCGGACCCTCCTTCGGGCTGGGGTCCAGCTGCGTGGGCAAACCTAGGGCTGCATCACTGTTTCCGATGACAGGGCTCTGAGGGAGAAGCATCCCAGGCGGGTCCACTTAATTTTAACTTCATCGCCCTTCTCCTGTCACCCCAGTTTCCCCTTGTTGTGAGTGATGAGACTGTAGAGTTCATATCCGCAGCGGGGATGTGGCAATTTGCGTGTCCTCTGGCACGCCTGGGAGGCCAACCGGAAATGTCTAAATGGGGCCGGATCTGTGCTCTGTAATCACTCAGATCACAGACTGTCCCTGCGTCTCCTCTCAGCTGGCAGCCTGATGGATCTCTGTGGAAATTGTGCAGAAATGCTGAGGACTTGGGCTTTCCAGGTAGATTCCCAAGAAAAGAAAGGGAACTAGGAGCGCAGGTGGAACGGTGCAGCTGGAGCCAATGTGCAGAGGCCGCTGCACGGGCTGGAGAAGAAGGGGCTTGGCCTGCCTTGCAAAAACCCTGTCTTAGGGAGAAGGCCTTTCCGGGGGGGGGGGTGGTGGGGGTGGGCAAAGCGTCATCATTCTCAGCATCCTTTACTTTAGGGAAGGAGTCGCCAAGGGGGCCTGCTAATAATGTGAGATTTCCCCAGGGCTCCCTCAGCACCTCTGAAACAGAATGCAATCTGGAGAAAGGGATTTATAACCAAAGTTCCAGCCATTAGGGGACTTTCAGATAACAGCCTTTAGGGAAACTTCCAAGCCTCGGGAAGAGTGACTCTGTGGAGGAACTGGAAGTCATTCATTCATTCAGCAACATGCTTCCAGCACAGACATCTGGCATTTAAAGTGGCATCAAAAAAGAACCAAAACAAAACCCCCAAAATGAAGTCGCATCAACAGAAGCTGTTCCAACCTTGAATTTGGAGCTAATAACACACCCCCCACAGGATCCAAATTCATCTCCTGTCTACAAAGGGACCTCTGATAACTCAAATTCTCCATTTGTTCTTAGGGACCGAAACCTACAGCCAGATTCATACCTAAGAGCCTCTGCTTCTCGTACATCACCCAAAGCACCATGGTCAGTTTCAAGACCTTCTTGGAACCTTCTGTTGGGTGTTGATATCTTGACACTGCTGCAGAGCCTTGCAGAAAGAGGCACTCATATCCATGCATTGGCAAACCTGGTCCCTCACCCTGCTCCCCGGGTCCCCTGAGACCTGCCCCCCTTGGAGGCTGCAGCTGGGGCCCGGGGGCACCCCTGGGTATGAGGGCGCAGTGACCACGGGAAGCTTGGAAATGCATCAGCATCTCTCGATTGTTATTTTTTAGGAAGTTCTGATGGTGACTGGGCAGTGGCGACACTTAAGTCACCTAAAGGTACCGTACGGCTTTTTGTAGCTCTCTTGTCCAGGTGTTGTTGGGTTTGGCATTCATCAGTGACGCACAGAGAGTCCCGGTGTCTGTGTGTGACCACGTGGGGTGGACCTGCCGTCCGTCTAAGTGCCGGTGTGTAGGTGTTGTGGTGCATGTGTGTGGGGGGCTGTCTGTGCTCGGGGGTCCTTGTCAACGGATGTGCTACTTCTCGATTCCCAGGATTCATTGCCTGAAGGAAAAGGTCACTATCAGAAATCACCACAGGTAAGACATCTAGGAAAGGTGGTTTATTCTTAGAAAGCTACAGAGGCAAGTGGCCAAACGCGAGGTGAATGAGTGCAGGGCAAACACAAGTTTAGAGGGAGAGATCAACAGTCGCGGTATGGGCCCCAGGTCTTGTGCACGATTTGCTCTTCAGGAAGCAGAACGAACGCTGTCTTCAACTTTCCCAAGGCTGCGTGGGGAGCAGCCAGTTAATGGGGGGCTGACCTGAGTCTGCATGAACTGGGTGATCAGCCAGGAGCTGACAACAATGTAGCACCCGCCCCCTTGCACCAGCCAGAATACTGGGCCCTTTACACCACTTGATCGCTGACTCTCCAGTGACCCGCCTGCACAGACATCGCCAGCGCCTCTGGAGGGGAGTGGGTGGCATCTGAGGGGGCACAAGTCCTGCTTGGCCTGAGCCACCCGGCTGCGGTGGAGAGCGTGGTTTGCCCCGGCACTGTCTGACTCTGGTGCGGGCCGGTTCCCTTGCCATGTGATGCCACAGCTCTTGCCAGAACACACCAGAATCACATTCTCTTCTTCCTTCGCTCCTTAGGCTTTGCTGGTGGTGGGAAAGATGGCGCTTCCTGAGGGTGTGGGGTAGAAACCTTCAGTGACCTTGAACTGGAGGACGTTGTGGGCTCGGGGCAGGAGACCGTCTGGCCTTTTCCCCGTTCTCCCAACACAGCTCAAGTGGAGAGGGGATTTTGGGGGGGTGGACTGGAGTTGGGGACACCCACTGAGGGCTCTTGTCGTGAAGGGTAACTCAGAGATTAAGGTTGAGGGTGAGTGCATGCGTGGGGAGGAGCCGCGGGCCCACCCTTGTCTCACGCTGAGACACCTAAGGGTGCATCATAGATCGAGACCCTTTGGGAGATCTCAAGCCCGGAGTCCCGATCCCCACCTCAGGCCTTCTGACTTACTGGGCTTCCAGCGGGGCTGAGGGGGTTGTGTTGCTAGTAGCTTCCCTGGAGAAGATGATGCTGCTGACTTGGGGACCCCTCTTTGAAAACCACTATGGGGGAGCAAACGAGCTGAGAACAGACTCTTTGTCTAGCTCTGCAGCTGTCCTTCTGAGGGTCACTGGGGCTGAGAAACGCTGGGGAGAGAGGGGCAGGGGGCATTGCATTCCCAAATGGAGGGCCAGAGCTGCTGTTGAGAACCCCCTGCTAACCCAGTTGTTCTCTTGAGAGGCAGATTTTTGGTCTTGCATTAGATAATAACTGTTCACATGTCAACATCCATTTTTAGAAATGCAAACAATTTGGAACATGACAGACCTACTAATTTGAGCATAAACTTTTTTCTCCCTCCCCTGTGAAAGGCGAGGCCACCGTGATCCCATGATGGTGCCAGAGGCTGTCGGCTGCCCTGTCCTCCTGGGCTGTGTCGTCTGGGCAGTTAGAAAATAGTTCAGGACGGGTCACAAGCCAGGGGTTGGAAGTTGTTTTTTTCTACCGATGCGGGGCTAACTTCACCTGTCCTGCCAACGATACCTGCCTTGCCCGGCAGGGGAGGAAGGGTGTCCCCAAGGGGCCAGACCCAGAAAGAGCACTGATCTTCCCTCATCTTCTCTCTGCTCGGCCTCCAGACCTGTGTCTCCATGAGGCAGGAGACATGGTTGTGGGGTTACGAGGTTGTACAGTCCCTGCCTTCCATGCCCCACCACCTTCAAGGAACTGGTGAGATGGCAGAGGCCCACCCGCTTTGCAATCATGGCCTCATCGTTTGGGAGTCTTGTCACCTGCCCCGAGGCTGATGGGAAGATGGGATGGGGAACCATGGCTGTCGTTAGACCTGCCATATGGAAAGCGATAGACGTATGAAGTCTGTTCGTGGTATTGTTACTACTGCTATTATCAGGTGAGCAAACGGATGGCTCCGAAAAAATCTCACAGTAATGAAAACTCAAACTGCATGTAACCTGTGGTTTCCCAACCACTTTTTTTTTTAAAAGATTTATTTATTTATTTATTTATTTATTTATTTATTTATTTATACAAGTACTGGGTACAGTCAGAAGCACGGGAGGGTGAGAGAATTCACCAGAGACAGAGCGGGGAGCAGAACAGGCAGACTGACTGAAATGCACTGCTGAGGGGAGCAGCGGGTGGCAGGGGAGGTCTGCGCGCCATGTGGGACCCTTGCCGGCGTCCGGGGATCGAACTGGCGCTGCAGAAGCTGCGGGCAGCTTTGCAGCCCAGGGCTCAACCGCTGTGCCACCGGGGAGGCCCTCCCCAGCCACTTTTAACACCTGATTTCTTTTCTCTTCAGAAAAGCTGCTAATACCCTCCCATCTCATGTGAAGTCCCCTCAGTGCTTCTGAAGCCTACTTTGGACATGGGTGGAGAGTAGGCAGAGGGGGTGGCTAAGGGGTGGCTTTGCAAGAGAAAATGCAAAGCCCCTGAGAGATCCAGCCCCCTGCTTCCCCTGCATTGGCTCTCACCCAGGAGCCCAGGCGTGTCTGCCTAGACGGGACTCAGCAAACAGGACTCCAAGCTCTACCTGAGGGCACCCCTGCAAGTCGCCCTCTAGTGGCCACGCTGCTGCCCAGGCCCAGCTCTTGAGTCCTTGAATCTTATGTCCAGCCCAGGCTGGAAGCTGCCACTACCTTGAACTCACCAGCACGCGCTCCTGCTCAAGATGAAGCGTGTCTTTGGAAATCTATTTGGCCAAAGGAATCTTTGAATCTGGCCTCTCCCTTACATAGTCTGGTGCTACACTGGGGCCTGAACTTGAGGGGAATTGATGGGCCCAGGGGTGCTGGGGGCCCCCAGAGGTGCTTGATTTCGATGCAGGAGTCAGCACAGGTGTATTAGAGATGAGACTTCATTGTAGGTGAGAGTACTCACTCAAGAAAGGGAGTGTGGGCAGATTCGGAAGAGAATCACGTCCTGGGTCTTAAGGCTGCAGATAGAAATACTTGCTCACAGATGGGGTTTGGAACGGGTTCTGACCAGTTTTGTTTAACAAGACCCTGGGCCTTAACAAGCTGTGGATACAATAAGGTAGGAGAAATTTTACAACGAGTGGCACCCAGTGTGAGGAAGCTGAGCTAATAGGGTTCGGGGTGCTTTGCTTTGGAATGTGCACGACTGTTTTTGCAGCGACTAGATGGGGAGAAAAAGGGGCTGCAGCCTTTGTACTGAATTTTTGTTCTGCCTCCAGCTGGCTAGGTTCACACCGTGGCTGCATCACTCCCTCTAGACCAGGTGCCATGTCCCTCCCCTGCTTGGCGCTCCCACTCCAAGTTCCTACCTTTCCAAAGTAGAGGCAAGGAGAGTACCCCTAGCCCACAGGTTGGGGGAGTAGTTTTAGGAGACAATGCATGAAATGCACTTCAGGGAAGTAAATTCACTTCACTCAACCTTTCTGCATTCACAAGAGAATCGCTGAGTCCCCTGAGATAAATGAGGCGGCCTGAGGTCCTACAGGAAAATTACCTGACACCCAGGACCAGGACCTCGCCCTCACAGCATGGCTCAGAAACTTGATCCAGAATGTCTGCAGATGCTTGTTGCAAATACAAACTCCAAGCCCATCCCCTCCTAGTTGCTGGGCCCTAAGGGGTACTGGGCCTCAGCCTTTTTTATTCCTTCTTTTTTTCTGTGAATCTTCTGGGTAATTCTTATGTAAATGAAAGTTTGGTTCTACCCTTTCCCAAGAAGCAGATGCAAACTCAATTTGTCCTGGGACACCAATTTCCACAGGCCAGCACGCCTCCAAATGTGGGTATTTTTGCTTCTTGCTGAAATGAAACAGTTTTCTTCATTAGGGGTTTGAGCTGGGGCTTCAGCTGGAGGAAAGCACACTGGGTAGACAGGCCCAGATCTGTCTTCCTGCCCTGTACCTGCTGCGGAGGGGAACGTAGCAGGCGGTTTACTCAGTATCTTTGGGCCTTCGTGTTCATTTGTCAGATGCAAAAAGATGATTTCACTTTGTCATCTTTAAGAGGGTTTCAATAAGATAATGTGTGTGAAATGGCTAAAACAGTCTCCAGTACATAGTAGGGACTCAATAAATCCTAGTTCCTTCTTTTTCCCCAGAAAGTTGATGTGACCCAGCGATAAATGTCCTCCTAAGAGCTGCTCCACAAGGCGGAGGCCATAGAAAACTGTGTGATTGGGCTTTTAGCTCTGCCGGAAAGTCAGGGTGCGGGCATCCTGGGGAAGAAGCCACCGAAAAGCAGCCTTAAAACATGACTTCAGGGCCTCCCCTAGTGGCACAGCGGTTGAGCACTGGGCTGCGAGGCAGCCTCTGCAGCGCCAGTTCGTTCCCCGGCCGCCAGTGGGAAAAAAAAAAAAATGACTTCATAAAATTGAGGCTTTTGCAATTTTCTGATGCAGGTTATTGGTTTGCTGTGAGCAGAAGGATACAGAGCAGGTGAAGGAGAGGGAGGGAGGGGGTGTTTTTTTAATAAAAATTCAATCCCACCAGCTCCTGAGTTCAGCCTCCTTTGAAAAGCACACAGCAAGCATTAGAGTTTTGATGAGCCTCCTTGGGCACCCATAGGGCATGAAGGAGCCGAGGAGGGTGCTCGGCTGTGCAGAAAATGCCATCACGGCAGATTGCGATGTGCATCACCCCGGCCTGCAGGTGTGGCCCTCTGAGACGAGGCCAGCTGGAGCCCGTTCATTCCACACCCCAGCAGCACCTTGACTGGTGCCCAGGGCACACTGTAGATACCCCCATCAATAAGTTCTTCAGTGAAGCGGGCACAGTATTTGAAGAGTGTC